TACCAACTTACACCCCCGCCAGCAGTATGCACGTGTTCTGGTTTTTCTGCATCATAGCCAACACTTGATTTTGTCAGACCTTTTAACTTTCGCCAGTCTGGTAGGTGTGGAAAATGGTATCTCATTGTGGGTTTCATTTTGCTTTGCCCTCATTACAAACGAGGTTGAGCATATTTTCATTTGTCTATGGCTATTGATATGTATTTCTTCTGTGAAGAGCCAAACTGTTTCTTTTGGGATCTATGTCTTTCTCTTATAGGTTCGTAGAAATTCTTTGTAAATTTTAGGTACTACCCAGGCTATAGACAGCGCAGGCTCCTCCAGTCTCCTAAGGGGTAAAAGTCTGAACAGCCGTGCTGAGGAACTGAGTTGGAAGTAGGCCTGAGGCCGGGGAGGAGGGGGCCTCACAATTCGGCCTGTAAGCCTTCAGCTCATCCCCCCTCATGTTTAACATGCTCTCGCTATCCTCAGCCGTGCCGTGTCCTCCTTTATGTCCCTTCTGGAGAGGAAGCCTCTGGTCTTCAGCAGAGACAATGCTGAGGGGATGAGGGGCTGGGGTCTAACTGTTCCTTACGCAGATGGCCAGTCGGGTCCCGTGTTCAGCCCCTACTTCCTCTCCATTCCCAAAGGTCCCTAGACCTGCTTTAGGATGCGGCTACCGCAGGTCTAACTGAGCCACTCCTCACCCAACTGCACCCATCCAGTTTCCATTATCGTGTGGTTGTCTTTATCCTGTTCTCTTCAATCCAGGGGTTTAGCCTCACCACAAGTCCCTTTTCCATTTTTTGTGGGGTTTTTTTTTGAGGGAGCAGAGGCTAATGAGTGTGTTTAGTCTGCCATCGTTAACCAGAGCCCTAAGATTTCTTGAAATAAAAGAGGCATCATCACAGGGAAAAGATTGAAAATCATTGCTTTAGTTCTTTTACCCCCTCTACCCCGTGTTTAAAAACATTTTACTTTTGTGTCTAACTTCCACAGATCACTATCTGTTAGTTAACCTGACCTTATATTTTGACTAATTGATGGGTGCGAATGATAGTCAGACACATAACAAAATACTCATTGCCCTTGAGACTATGGGAAGCCCAAAGCATGTAGATTACCTCTTAATGTGAAGATGGAAGAGAAGTAAATTGCACCACTCTTGAAAACGGTGCTGCGGTTTGCATCATGGGGGGAAAAAAAAGCATTGTCATTCTTAGGAGCCCGTGATTTTGTTATTGACTGGTTGGCTTTTTAAAGGTGACAGGCCTCGTTTTTCTTTTCTTGGGAGGTGACTCGTTCAGGTCATATCCAGCTCATCTGCTTCGCTGAGGATCTTTAGGGATAACATTTGAGTCACTCATAAGCCTAGGATTTGAGAGACAGACCGTTCATGTCCAAATGACAATGGAAAAGGGAGGACTCGGAAGCCTGGAGAGGAGGTAGCTGGAGCTGCACATCCTGGATGCCTTTTGACATCATTGGCGTCAGACTGGATATGCCTGCTTGTAGCATTAAACCTTTATCTGTACAGATGATGGGGCACGTGTGCACATAACGGCAACGAAGACTGACAGCAATAATTGGGCAGAGGGGATGTGGCAGGACTGGGAAAGCTGGTTCTTCTCTGGGTGATCTATGATTTTTCATGCATAAAATTAACATACTGTGTGACTTTTTTGGCTTTGATATGCTGAGAGCCTGGGGTTTCCTTTATCCTATCTCTATGTGCCTCCTCCAGCTGTTCCTGAGTTTATTTCTTTTAACTGCTCTTTATAGTTGATAGATAGCCATAGGTGGCCAGGCCTTAAAGTGTGTTAGTGCATTAATATAAAGTTTTAGAGGCAGATATTTGCATTTTCCTCTAATATACAGGTAGAGACAGATGTGGTCAGGCTTTTCTTTCCTAGGGTTTGGTTGTGACAAGCGTGCTACATAAAAATAGAAAAGAATAAAACATATAGTTTTTCCACCCTGATGTAGCTACCAACTAGTTTTTACTCTAAAATAGTGGTGATGGGTATTGAAATATCTGGGGTGCAACATACCTGGATGAACCACTGCAGAGTTTCCTTCTTATAGATGTAAGTCATGGAATGTAAGAAACTTCATTCACCCAGTTCCTCTTGGAGAGATGGAGTGTGTGTTTGGAAGACATGTTATGAAAAGCCTGTTGAGCTCAGGGTAGGAGACCCTAAATGACACACGTAGGAACCTGCAGGTGTTCCCAAGGCCTTGTTTTTCTGAACCCTGAGATGGTCATGTCCGCAAGCTTCAAGGTTGGGAGCTGCTGTGTCCCTACTTAATGATGGAGTGGAGAAAAATTTGACTTTAGTTTTTCATTTATCTATTCATTGTTTCAGACACCTTTATTGAGTCTTCTCCCTATGTTACTCAGCCATGTGACTTCAACTGATGTATCACGTGTACACAGCATGTGCCAGGGGTAACTATAAATGTCTTCCTGGGGGATTGGTGGTCTCCATAAATAGATTGTGGAGAATTCAAAACTCACACACACACATTTAAAAAGCATTATATTTTAAAGAAATTGCTCTGGGTCCCTTGAGTTTGTGCTTCTAGATGTTCCCCGCTCCATCATCTTGTGTATTGTCTTCCCCAGGCGCACACAAAGTGCTGTAAGGATTCAGAGGACAGAGACAAGCTTTGTGGCAGTGGACAGAGTCATGAGTGACCACAGGAGGCTTTCTGGACGCTGGACTTGAGGTGAGTCTCAAAGAACTGGGAATGTCTGTTAGGGAGTGATGGATGATGTGTGTTGGGGTGGTGGGGACATGCCAGCTGAGGGGATGGCATGAGTCCCAGCTCAAGGACAGAAACGGCAGCCAGGCAGTAGACCAAGCTGCAGAATAGTGTGTGTGTGGGGGGGGTCAGGTCTGAACTGCACATGGGGATCAGAGGGCAAGAGCCAACTATCAACTATTTTGTTCGTTATTGGGAATTTCTTGGATGTCATCAAAGAGATGCTTTAGGGCGGTTCACTGGGGGTGGATATGCGATGGTGGAGGTGCATTTAGAGACCAAGTTGTTTGGTTCAGTGATTCCTAATCAGAGATGCACTTCAGAATCACCCATGGAACATTTTTAAATGCCCGGGCTGGGACCCCCACCATGGGAGATTGTGACTCAGGAGGTCTGGAGTGGAGCCCAAGAAATCCGTATTTGGAAAAAGCTCTTGAACAAATGTTGTGGTATTCTCTGGTTAAAAAACCCTGAAATGGAAGGTGATTGCAATAGCCTACTTTTGAGGTAATAGAACTTGGATTTATGGTGGTGGCAACAGAAATGGAAAAGAAGGGTTCAGTTTGAAAGACTTTGTAAAAAAATAAAGACATGAGTTGCTATTAGAGCACTGCCTGCTCCAACATATGTGATGTTCTGAACTGCACCTGACTACCTATGGATCTTCTGAATTGGTGCACGCTGAGCTCTGCTCACTCGTGACTGT